CCTGTTAGAGAAACCATGTGATATTTAGCTTTGTGTATCTGATTCCCTCTACTTAGTATATACTATGGTTATAAGATCCATCAATTTTCCTACAAAAGACTCAAAATTTTTTCCATTATGTATGCATACTATATTTTCTTTATCCATTCATCTGTTAATAGGCATACTGGCTGCTTTCATAATTTTGCAGATGTGAATTGTGCTGCTATAAACATGAGTATACATGTATCCCTACAATTTCATGACTTTTAACTCTTTTGAAAAGATACTAACAAAAGGGTATAGAGGCCAAATGGACTTTCTAGTTTTAGGTTTCAGGGGAATCCCTCTACTAATTTTCATAGTGGTCATACTAGCTTTAAATATGTTTGTACTAATTGAATACTTTTCCTGATTCATATTATTCTTTACTATTCACTGGGTAGTTGTGATAACTCGGACCCCAGAATAAAATCCAAGTAAGCAAGAGATTGAAATTTGGGGAGCAAAGGCTTTATTTCCAGGCCTGGTGGCACAGTCACCCCAGGATCGACCCAAAGACTGCATGACCCAGAGACTGAAGAAGGGGATTTTAAAAGCAGGAGAGGGGGGAAAAAAACAAAACCCGCAGAGCTGTTAAGCTGTTGACTCAAGTCTGAAAACTGTAAAGCTGTCCACTTAGCTCTGATAACATCGGGAGCCTGGCGCCTTTCAAGTTACTCCCATTCTGCAGATAAGCATTATCTTGGAATAGCACATCTGCAATTAACATTCGGAGAGGAAGGTAGAAAGTTAATTATTTTGGGACAGCTTGTTAGCAATAACGTGAAAGGGGGAAGGCGGTTAATTATCTCAGGACAGCTTGTTAGCGCTAACATGTGAGAAGGGGTCAAAAGTTACAAGAAGCTGAAACTTAAGTTTTTACAAGGATTTGGAACTTAACCCTTTCCGTGCTTACAGAACAAGAGGGGGCGCATTGGTTAGGGTTAAGCTATAACATTCTTCCTGTAATTTCTTTGAAGTTAAGCATTTCTTTGTTAGACCGGTGTCGCAAGGAAGACTCCAAGGGCCTTGCTCTCATGTAAAAACAAAGGGGTTTTTATTATTCTGTGTACACGGGGTCCTCCAAACAGGTGGAAACGGAGAACCCTGAGTTGGGGCAGGGCTGGTGTTTTTAAGGGGGAAAAACTGCAATGTAAGCATTTATTACAGAAGCCAATCATTACAGTTAGTGTGGAGCGGTGGGCATCTTATCTATCTGCTATTGGTCAGTTTATAAGGGGTGACCAGCAGGTCAGAGTTAATTAACTGTCTTTGTTCTGCACAACTTGTCTTTAAGACACCTGGTTTCTGTAGACTTGAGTCTGACATATTTTACAACCCTGATTAGCATAATGGCAGGCTCTATCTCTGAGTTCCCTGGCACAGCACATCCCCAGCATATCACAGCCACAGAGGTTGTTTTTATTTTTGCAGGGCTGAGTTAGGACTGAGTCATGAGGCCCAGTGCTGTTTCTAGCTGAGAAACAGCATCTTGTTTTTAACCTTTAAATTTCTGGTTCTACACTTAAGAACAGCTCAATTAGCACTTTTTTTTTTTTTTTGTCTTTTTCTTTTTTATCGGTACCAGGGATCGAACTCACGACTGCCTGCTTGCAAGGCAGGCGCTTATGCTGCTGAGCTAAATCCCCAGCCCCCAACAATTAGCACATTTTATGACAGACCACCACCAGGTAGGGAAGGGGGTTACCAGAAACTGAAACCTAAGGCTTTTATGGCTTTTCAGGAAATTGAAACTTACCTAGATAGATAGGGAGGGGGAAGGAGGGAGGGGAGGCAGTACCGAGCATTACAGAACAGAAATAGGCGAGATTACTTTTTTTGTGGGGGGAAGAACAAGGGCAGGTAAGGGTTGTGCTAACAAGCAAGTCTCCCAGCATACAAGCAAGTTACCCTTTAAAGAAGTTTAAATTAGGAAAACATCCTGGTTTCCTCAGCAAAGAATAGAGAAGTCAAACAGTAATTAACAACCCCTGTTAGCTAATTTTTTCCACATCTGTTACTTGTAGAGGGCAACAATGGTTAACATATCAATTAGGTAAGATTTTGCAATTCTTTATAGAGGAGAGCATTGATTAACATATCAATTAGGTCATACAGAGGGAGAAGGAAAACATATACATACGGCCATGTTACAGGTAATTTGCTATAATACAAATATAATGAAGCTATTTTTCTTAGGGTACAACAGTAGTATATTTTTTATTTTGTAAAGAAAGATTACAGAATAGTGATTTTTAAAAAACACTTCATTCTATTTTTTTAATTTAAATTTAGGTTTATGATAATTTTGTGTTAATTTATGTGTATATTGGGTGAGAAGGGTCTAGTGTCTTTCTTGAATTAGCTTTCTAGATCCTTTGAATTTTTACATGCATTCTAAGATCAGCTTTTACCTTTGAAAAAGAAAAAAAAGCCTACACAGATTTTGATAGAGAATAAGTTGAGTTTGTGCATCTTATTTTGAGCATGTGACTACGTTAGCAATGTTAATTTTCTAATCCATAACAATCCATAATGGACATAACCTTCCATTTACTTAGGCCTTCTTTAATTTCTTTCTTCAATGTTTTTTAATTTTAAGGTACAAGTTTTACAGTTCTTTTCTTGAATTTATGAATATTATTTTTAATGCTATTTTAAATGAGACTGTTTTGTTATTTTTATTCTCAGTTTTCATTGCTAGTGTATAGTGATTTTTGCATGTCATTCTTTTGTTCTCCAAATTTGATGAACTTATTTATTAGTTCTAATAGCTATTAGTGATACCTTGTCTTTCTGGATGTGACTTTTTAAATTTAATGCAATGTTCTCCATTTCCATACATTTGCTACAAATGAGAGAATTGTATTCTTCTTGTGGCTGAATAATTTGAGATATATATATATATATATATATATATATATATATATGCAACATTTTACCAGTTCATCTATTGATGGTCACCTAGATTGATTACAAATTTTAGCTATGGTGAATAACACTGCAATAAATATAAGCATGCAGGTGTCTCTTTGGTATTTTCATTTTCTTTCTATACAAACAAATGGGATAGCTGGAGACCATGGCAGATCTCTTATTAGTTTTATGAAGAACTTTCATATCATTCTATATAACAGTTATTCTGATTTACAGTCCCACTAACAGTATATGAGAGTTTCTGTTTTGAACATCCTCACCAATATTTGTTAATTTTTATTTAGAGTTTCAACTTGTTTCTCTTCTCCATCTTGATATTCCCACTTCATGTAGGAGGATAGATGAATTTGTTAAGATTTTGCAATTCTTAGTTTATTATCCTTAACTAACTCTTACTTATTCTTGATTGGTTTTTAGTGTGCTTTTGAATTGAGATTTCCTAACATTTTTTAAAAAAAATGAAGTAAGTTACTTTGGGAGAGCTTTGGGGTTCTATTTTTCAATGTGCCTCTTCTACTGGGGGAAACCTCTGCGCTACTGTTTAGAGTGATACTGCTGTAATGAGTGGGATGCTGCATAAAGATTTGGTCTTTTGAATTTGCCTGTTCTGGCTTAGAACTCTGCCTTATGAGAGAGCATGAATAAACATTATTTGTTCCTGGTATTCTTAGTCTAAAAGCCCAGTAAGTGGGAGCTAAGTGGAAACCTCTCCTGTAGGGCTGTTAGGCCAGTTTGGGGAAGGGGAGGGGAAAGAGGGATGAGAAGTGCTGGTCACCTAAGAGTGAGTTATCATTGGACTGGAGTAGCAGCTGAGTGGTGAAGGAAGTTTGTGTTCTTGGCTTTAACCACCTAGGGTAAAAGTTCTGTTAATTTGAATTAGTCCTCTGAGTGTGTGTGTGTGTGTGTGTGTGTGTGTGGTGGAGTGGAGAGAGGATGAGGGGATTCTGAGAGCAGTGAATCTGATGACATAAGCTGTTTATATTCTTACCAAAATTACCAAAATATTCTTAAATATTTTCTTATTTACTGTTGCAAAATTTTCTGAGACTTTAAATGTGTATCTAGTATTTCTTACTAATTATAGCTTTTTTGTTGGTAAAGTTTTTATATTTTCATCCTAAAAATCAGCCTCATACTCTGTAAGCATCAAAGAATATATCACACAACTGTAGTATACAAACTAACCATGTTTACATTCTTTCCTCCAGGGACTTAACATATTACAAAATATCAATGTATATCATATACATAAATATTCATTCAGAGAAATTACAGTTGTGAGTGGGTATTTATAGAACTTCCTCTTAGCAACACTTTAAGGGAACATTTATATTAATTGTGCTGTTTCTCAAAAATCAGGTATAATTGTAATTTTTAATTATACACAAAATATGGATGTATCGAAGAACAATCTTGAGCAAAAGGACCTACACATGAATGAGTACAATTAGATGATTTCATTTATGTAAATTAAAGAACAGCAAAACAAATCTGTGTTATTAGAATCAGGGCAGTAGTAATGTTTCATTTTGTTTTTTATATAGATTCTTAGTTATATTCATCTTATGAAAATCTGTTGGGTTTTAGATTTATGTTACGTGCACTTTTGTGCATATTATACTTATATAACAGTTAATGTTTATTAAAGTGTCCATATTTTATAGTTTTAACAAAATATAATTCTAAGTAAGTTTATTATTTTTAACTTATTGCTTTAAAATGATAATGTCTTGGTCCTCTAATGTGAAGAAAATTCATTTTCTACATTTATAAATAAAAAATAACTTAAAATATAAATTAGTATGATTATTAATAACTCTGTCTGATATTTGTGCTTCCTTGAAATATTTTAAAATGCTGAGACTCTTCAAATATTTCTTTTTAAAAATTGAAGGTTAGCATCATTTATGTTTTTATAAAGCCATGTTTTTCCTCACAACTCTGAGGAATATTCTATATGCAAATTCAACCCTTTATAAAATATACTAAATCAGGGAGGTCTCTTTATCCTTTGTAATACATTTTTAAATTTTATTCTGTAGGACTATTTTGAAAGAAAGTGGGTTTGCCAGATACCTTCATTCAGCTGTTCTTATCAATGGAGCTATGCTTATTTTTGGAGGAAATACCCATAATGACACTTCCTTGAGTAACGGTGCAAAATGTTTTTCTGCCGATTTCCTGGCATATGACATAGGTATGTATCTGTTAGGAATGTATAACATAGGAAATATAAAACATTTTCCATATAGAGATTCTTAAATATTTTTATTATAGCATGTATATATGTAATTTTAGAAATAAATTTAGTAATAGGTTATTAATGGCATTCTCCCTAATCTCGGGATAGTAGTAGTATAGAGCCAGGAAAACAGATGTGCCGAAGTGAGTTGGTGGTAGAGACAGTGGCATATTGAAATGCAGGCTTAAATGTCCATTCTGAGCCTTTTTGTATATGTGTCCCTAAGTGAGCATTCTATCACACTATTATGTTGTGGCTGTATTAGTTTTGGTAATGGATATAGAGTACTGTTAAACAATGCAAATTGCAAGTAGGAATGCAAACATTTTCGATTTAGTAGCAGTTAAAAATGTTACATTTATATAAAATTATACTTAACAAATACAGGAATCTGATAGAGCTAAAGAAAGGAAGGAATATGGAGAAAGTATAATTAAAGAAATAAGATTATGAGACAAAATAGAAACCCAGCATGTTCTTAAAAAAGAAAACAACAAAGTCATTTCCTTCAAAATGAGAAATACAGCACATTTGTATTATCCATTTAGCTTTAATGTTGTTATTTATAGTGCTGTTTTCTAAATATTTAAGTGAATATATTTACTGAAGTACTGTTTACCTTTCCATTAGATCACTGTAGTAATGACTGTTTCTCATTGTATCATATTGATAAAACTTAGTTGATACTGTGATGAAAATTTAATACTGAACTATTTGTTAGTTGACAAATTGGGAATTTATTTATTTCGTATCATTTAAGATTATACATTAGGTTTGATTTGTCAGAAAAACTGAGGTAAAATAAATTAAAAGGTTTGTTTCTTTCGGAAAAATAGAGAAAAGAAATGTTGAATTATCAGTATCATTGCTACTTTCAACATAAAGAAACCATACCATATTTAATTTTAGCCTAAAATGGGAAATACTTTCAAATTATAGACCAATATTATCAGATATTTTTGTAAGGATATTCTTCTAATCAAAATATAGAATCTTACTACTGTGTATTGAATCTCTTCTAAGTGCTAGGAGTATGCTCAGGGACTCACAAAATCTGTAACCTCTCTAACCTGTGACAAAATGGCATTATTCTAATTTTAAGAAGACTAAATAGACAGAAATAACAATAACTTGTTCACAATCATGTATGCAGTAAGTGGTAAACCTAGTTTTTGTAACTTTTAAAACTGTGGTACTCTTTCTACTTGACTGTGCTGATTCATTGAGTCCAGTACAGTGGTAGCGAATCTGTGCCATGTGTGCTGCAGCAGGTGGTTTGTTATTATTGAAAGCCACAAAAGGGTTGCCTTTGCTGGTCTACTGTATGTTCTTAATGTCACATACATTCACAAATACTTTATGTTTGGTAGCGTTTGTTTCTAAATGCTATAGAAAGAAGTAAATATCAGTTTCACTTTTTAACATACATTGTTCAGACTGGAAGAACAAGAAAATTATATTTTAAATAGTTTCATATTTTAACAGAACTTTTTGTCTTGTGCTAATGCTGGCAATTAAAACATGATGTCAATCTTATAATTCAACGTAGAACACAAGTGTTTTATTTCGTCTGTAATTTCCTTCATATAATCTGTATTTATTCTCCTGGGTTATCAGCATCAAATTTTATAATATTTTCCTGAGAAAAACATTTTCATCTTATTTTTCCTATGTCAGAAAAGGTATTTCAAAATAATTATTTTTCTGTGCAGTTTTTTTGGAAATAGTTGTAAGCATGGCACAATAAATGAAGGAGAAAATAAATGTTCTATAAAAACTATGATGCTTTTTCTCTTCGGTATAGTACACTAGTACTTATTGGCATATTAAGTAGACTACTTAGCTGCTTACCTTATGATATATGATTTTTAAACAAGCAGGAATATTTGTGCCAAATCCTACTATTTCATTACTGTAAAATGCAGAATTTCAACTTTACTTCCAGAGCAACTTTTTAACAGTGAATATCATTAATCTTTGAAAATATAGCCTTGGTTTCAGTATTTTCAGATTAGGCATGATGTAGATGGTGTATACTGATGATTTTCAAACTGTGAAGGTGATTGGGCAAAAATAACAGACCTATTTAATCAGATTCTTTGAGATTAGGTACTAAATACCTAGATTTTAAAAAAGGGACTAAAGTGCAACTGATAATAGAATCAAATTATTTAGTGAGTCAGTATCAAAATAACATATAGCACGAGACATTGTGTAAATCTAGCTCACAGTGAAATTTTAGAATCTGAAAACTTTATTATATTTGCTACTGTTGTGAGATTATTGTGCTTTCAGAAATCCCCCATGATACCTTTTCAATATTATCAGATATTTTTGTAAACATATTCTTCTAATCAAAATTCACACAGAATTGTGAAATAAGATGAAAAGCAGCTTATTAATAATGTTTGTGTTCAAAAAAGATAATAGATAATAGAAACATGAAAATGTAATTTCCTGCTTTAGATTATTTCAAAATTGGAAGGGAATGGCATTTGTATGAAAAATATTATCTTGCAAGAAGCAGAACTGCTGAATCTTCAAATCAGATTGAATTAATAGTAGTTTAAAAATATCCCCTCAATTCATAGTTTTACTTACAGCGTTAATTTCTTAGTAGGTTAATATTTAAAAACACAGTCTTTAAACACTGAATAGTAATTCCATATTAGAAGAATTCATATCATTTTAGTTGGAAGTATGTGGTAACTATTTTATAATATGGTGGAATTGTAGTGTATTATTAAAAAGTCACTAGTTATGAAATATAGCGTATGCAATTTTGCACAGCCCTAAGGAGTGACATGATGACTGTTATCACAATGTATATCTAAAATGTACCAATAAAATGAAACAGATTAGAAGATGGAGAAGCAACTCCAAACATACTCAGCCATTTTATCTTTGACAAAGAAGCCAGACACCTTCAACTGGAAGAAAGATAACCTCTTTAATAAATGATGATGAAAAAATTGGCTTTCCACGTGCCCAAGATTAAAATTATACTCGTATCTTTTAGTATCAATTGAGTTAAAGTCAAAATGGATCAAAGATCTAAGTACTAAAACAGAAACACTAAATCTGCTGAAAGATAGAATAGGTAGAACTCTTGAAAATATTGGTGTAGGCAAAGACTTTATGAGCAAAACCCTGATCTCACAGAAATTATCACAAAGAATCAACAACTGGAATCTCATTAAAAAGCTTTTGCACAGTTAGAGAAACCAGCAACAGACAGAAGAAACAACCCACAGTGTGGAAAATAATTTTTTACTAGCTATTTCTCAAACAATGGATTAATATGTAGACTTTATAAAGAACTCAAAAATATCAGACCCTACAAATTTAAAGATTCAATTCAAAACTGGACATCTGAAATGAATAGACACATCTCAGATGAAGGAATAAAATGGCAAGTATATATAGGAAGAAATGTTCAGCATCACTGATCACTTGAGAGATGCAAATTAAAGTAACACTGAGATTCTACCTCACCCCAGAAATAATGGCTACTATGAAGAAATCAACCAATAACAAATGCTGGAGGGACTGTTTGGAAAAAGGAACATTCTCCACTGTTGGTGGGAGTTCAGACCTGTACAACAACTGCAGAAATTCAGTGTGGGGAGTCTTCAAGCTACTAAAACTAGAGGTTCTATTTGACCCTGCTATTACCCTTCTTGGTATCTTTCTGAAGGATTAAAAGCATAATTCCACAGTAATGCATGTACATCCATGCCTATAGTGGCAGAGTTCAGAATAGCAAAACATTGGAAATGGTCCAAATGCCCATCAACAAATGAATTGATAAAGAGGATGTGTTTTTTTATGGAATGGAATACTACTCTGAGATAAACTCAAGACATTCTTAGCTAAATGAATACATCTTGAGACCATACTCTTAGGTGAAATAAGTCAGACACATGTATAAATGTTACATGATTTCTGGTGGTGTGAGAAACTGAAACTGTAAATAAGGACCAAATTATATAACAGATATGGGGAAATGGGGGAAAAGTGTTCAAATGAAAAGATGAACAAGGAGAGGGGAGGTGAAAAGGAAAGGGGACAAGAAAAAAAAAAAAACAAGGTAAAAATGGAAAGAAAGCTTTTATAAATAAGAGAGGAGGGCCTGACAAGAAAGGAGAGAAATTGGGAGAGGGGAGAAGAAGCAAAATATACCATGCTCAGCTACAAATTCCCTATGATAAATGTTATGACAATATGTATCTAAAATGTACCAATAAAATAAAAATTTAAAATAGTAGGGGAGGGAGCAACAGATGTGGAATGAAGTTGCCAGAGATAGACTGTGAACCCTGAATCCCAGCCCATGGGAGATGAGGGGAGACACTCCTGTGAGTCAGTATTAAAAACACACGCTTAATAAAAGACACTTAAAATATATTGATTTTTCCCCACTTCTCTCACAATTTAGTCAGAAATTAGAAAATCAAGGAAAGGTATCCCTGTGTTCCAATGTCCTCTGGCTAAGACTGGTTTCCTTGGCACCCTTAGCCAGTGGCAATGACATGCTGGCTATGGGGCAGGGACAGAGGATTGCACGTTTGGGAGCAACCTGGAGGGGTAGGTGGGCTTGACTTAATGTGGATCAAAATTTCCAGAAATTATGTAGCAGTGTCTTAGTTACTTGTTACTGAGACAAAATACTCAACAGAGGAAAGGTTTATTTTGGCTCATAGTTATAGAGGTTTCAGTCTGTAGTCAGCTGGCTCCAAGTCTATAACAGAGGCATCACAGGGAGGAAATAGTAGGAGGCTGCAGCAGCAAACATCAAGGAGTCTATCTTCTCTCTGACTCTTTAGATTCTATCCAGGCTATAGCTGTTTGGGTGGTGTCACCTACACCTAGGGAGGTGAGTGTGGCTTCTGTTTTCAGTAAATCCATTCACTCACACTCAAAACTATGCTAATTCCAATCAGTGAATTTAATTT